GAGACAAACATCCAAAGTGGTAGGGAAGACTGGAGCTTTTCTGAAGAAGCAAAAGAAAAGACTTTTTTTTTTATTTCATCCAGGCTACACATTTATTGGTTGGTGCTACCCACATCTGGGGTGGGTCTTTTCTCCTCATTTTGTGGCCTACGTATCAGTCATCCACAAACACACCAAGAGCTGTTCTCCACGAATCTGCTAGGTATTTTTAATGCATTCAATTTGACATCACAACAGTCACACCCAGCTTTCCTAAATTTATTTAAAATCCCATACAAACATGGCACAGTTATCAAAACCAGAAAGTTAACATCAATATAGTATATTACTTGATCTACAGGTCTTATTGATACTACAGTTGTCTTGTCTTGTCCCTTCCCTGGTCCAGAATCCAGTTGAAAGTACCATACTGCCAGTTCACTGTCATGTCTCAAGTCTTGTCTAATCTGGGACATTTCCTCACATTGTGTGTGTTGTTCATGATCTTGCTATTGAAGAATACTGACTGGTTATTTGTACTGTGCTTCTTGATTTAGTTTTGTCTTGTAATTTTTTGTGATTATATTAAGGTTATGCAGTCTTGGCAAATTCCCACAAACATCTTACCCTTGTGTCATACTGAGAAGTCCGTAATAACCATGAATCAGTTTATAGGTGATTGTAACTTAAATCATTTGTTTAAGGAGGTGATAAGGCGGTTTTCTCCACTAAGAAGTTAGTTTCCCCCTTGTAATTAAGAAATTTCTTTTGACGAATATTGTGTCTTCTATCTAGATATCCTCCCAATGTCTCATGTGTTCATAGGTGGGGCTTTTCATAGGTGGCTATATCTAGCATGTGTGAATGTGGATCAAGATTGTCTGAATATGGATTAAGAATGTGTAATAACTAAATTAGACTGGTGATTAGTTTAGCATTGTTCTGGGTGTGGATAATGGGAAGGCCTACTCTGAGTATGGGTGACACCAACCAATAGGCCAGAATTGAATAAAAGGAAAAGGGAGGTTTAGTGCTGCTGCTTTGGTGTTTTCTGTCTGCCCTGCCATGGACTCTTTCCTCTGCTATGCCCTTCTGCCATGCTACCCTGCCTTGGAGCCAGCCAACTATGGAGTGAAACGTCTACAAACTGTCAGCCAAAATACACCTTTCCTTCTTTAATTTGCAGATGTGAGGTATTTTGTCCCAACAATGAGGTGGTAACTAAGACAAGGGAATACATTGAGATAGGTTGATATCCTGATTTTGATTATATTTTCATCCATTAATCTTAGCATTCATTGATGATTTTTGTTTTGCAGTGATTATTAACTATAGTTTTTCCAAGTGATATATTTTTGTTTCCATCCTCTGCTTTTAAAATTAGAAGTTTATTATGATACTAAGCTGTCATATTACATTGTTGATGGGGTCATCTGTTTTGTGAAGTTGTGCCTTGTCAATTTCATGGCATAAATGGGTAGCTAATCTTAATATCACATTTGTTAGGTTTGGTTGTTAATTCAGTTTAGCTTTTCTAAAACATTCTGTTCTCCCACCATTATTAGTTGGTTACCTTATGGGTACCTTAATGTTGGTAGTTGACTTTAAGATTGAGGAAGATAGATGATAGTAGTACCAATAGGGATAGATGGCCTAGAAATAGGAGCAAAAAGATGATTTTATTTTGAGTACGTACTTATTTGGTATTTGGGAGTTAATGGACAGTGTATGTAAAGATGCAGTTGGATTCTTAATAGAAGTATAAGGAGGACAGTGACTGATGGGAAGGAGGATGTGAGGCTGTGGCTCTAGTGGGGTAGTAGGATGTGAGCATCAGGCGTTACAGTTTAAGGACTAAGGAGAGGTGATTAGACAGCAATTACGTGATGTTGAGCAACACTTCAAGAAGGTTTTGTGTAAAGTATGCTAGTTTGTAGTGTGTGAAAGCAGCAGAAGTCATAGGCAGCTTCTCTTAGTTTCATTCAGCATTTGAACATTCATGCATTCTTTTTCTGGAGAACAGTAGCCATGGGACCTTGAGAAAATTACGTAATTCCCTATGGCTTTTTCCCCCCATCTGTTAAAGTAGGGTTATTATTTCTCACTAAGTCTGACAGTTGCCTTTTATTTCCCCCACTTTTTGATCCCTGTTGTCTGTTGTCTATGGTGTAGTCTTGCCAGAAATGGCCTGTAGTGTCAGTACCTGCTCCTGGAACTTCAGTTGCTTCCTTTCTGTAAAAGAAATCCCATGGTCATGACTTGCACTGGCTTGTGTTACCTGCTCTCTGCTGCCCTCATCTCTCTGAAATCTAATTTGTGCACACATCCTCAACTTGGTCTGCTCTGCGTACAGGTGTCTTTTCAAGTATCCTTCAGTCCTATGGCCTTTACACAATCTCTGCCCTCCAATTGGGACTCTTCTTTCTGCACATAACTACATAACTTCCTTCCTCACCTCCCTCATTTAAATTTGTGCTCAGAGATCATTGTGTCAGAATGTCCTCAACTGACTGCTCTTTATAAAACAGTATTCTATTATGTAGCATTCCTTTTACGTTGCTTGTCTTTGTAACATTTCACAGATGTGCGTACTTACTGTTTGACTTGTACCACAAAGATCACAAGCTTTTTTAAGACCAGCACTTTGCCTCCCTGCCTGTGCCTGAGATGTGATTGGTGCTTGAAAAAAAAAAGTTTTGTTGAGTAAAGACTAACAATTATCTTTAGAGACTATTTATTATGGTATGATAGTAACTGTTCCAGCAACCTTGTGTTTACAGACTCATTGGTTCTCCTAATACCCTTATGAGGAAATTGAGTCTCAGAGAAATATGGCTGACAGTGAATAAGGAGGACATTCCAGTAGAGGCAGTCTTGATTGAGAGCCCACATTTTTTCTGTTTCTCAAAAAAGAAACCATCTATAGAAAATAGTTATTTAAATTTCTCTCTTGTACTAAGTATTCAATAAGTGTTTGGTTGATACCAGTATTGTTAGCAGCATTAGGATGCTGGATGTGGAGCCATGCCTACCCATTATTTGGATTTGGATCTCCATTTTCTTATCTTTAAACGGGTATAACATTAATGTTGAAACCTGTCTGTAACCTCTACGAATCTTGAGCGTGTAACACTTGAATGGATTACTTACTCTTGCTAAGCATCATTTATTTATATACAAAATCCAAATAGTTACATTTCTGATCTCTGACCTTTACACTGATGGAGAGTAGTGTGTATAAAGTGGTTAATACCTTACAAGTCAAATAAATGAAATACGTTATGCTTTTCTAAATAATTGTCCAATGCAGAATATGTATAGTAAGTTATTACACTTTAACAGCAAATGTGAAATGGAACCTAATTGTTTGGTTACTGTATTTTAATGAGGCAGAACTGGTGTATACTGAATGCATTTTGAACTGTTTTTCCTGAAAGATATCATTAAAACTAGTTGCGGTGGTGCATGGTTGAAATTGCAGCATTTTCTGAAAGCTGAGGCTAGAGGATTGCAAGTTCAAAGTCTGGGCAACTGCATGACTTAGTGAGACCCTGTCTCCAGATAGGATGGATGGATGGATGGATGGATGGATGGATGGATGGATGGATAGATGGATAGATAGAGAGATAGATAGAGAGATAGATAGATAGATAGATAGATAGATAGATAGATAGATAGATAGATAGGATAGATAGGATAGATAGCTCAGTGCAAAGGTCTTGAGTTCGGTTCCCAGTCCCCTATCATTAAAATTTTTAAAATAATAAAAACATAGCATTAAGAAAGGCAAACTTCAGGGTGGAAGAGGATATTTACTATCCTCACATCCAGAATACACAAAGAATACCTGCATTTCAGTAGAGGGTAGTGGGAGAAAAGGCTGACAGTTTAGTTCTAAAAAAAAGGATGAGGGGCTGGGGACTTAGCTCAGCGGCAAAGCGCCTGCCTGGCAAGCGCAAGGTCGTGAGTTCGGTTCCCGGTACCGGAGAAAAACCAAAACCAAAAAAAAACAAACAAACAAACAAACAAAAAAAAAGGATGAGAGTTTGAACAGATACTTCACCAAAGGAGATAGCTAAGGTGTCTAATAAACATGGAGAAGTGCTCATTTTCATTTTTCATGAAGGAAATCCCAATTCAAACTACCATGTACAGTCACATTATACAGAGTAAGTAGAATAAACAAGTTAGAGAATACCAGGTAAAGGTGAGAAATCAGAACACTGTCATGCTGCTGCTGGGAGTGAATTGTTCTGTAGCTTCTTTGGCATGCTGTGTGGTAATTACTGCAGAATCTCATCTTTTTATTTCTTATGACTCAGTGATTGTGCTTCTAGATATATACACAAGAGAAATGTGTATGTATGTTCACCTGAATGTATGAGAGCATTCATGTAGATAGACGCACACAAAGATAAAGAAAGATACAGAGAGCATTCTGGTAAAGTTTAAGTGTTTGTGAAGCTTGGCTTCCTGAGCAAATAAATTGTGTTTTTATGTGTAGGAGAAGAGAGAAAAAGTGTTCCTAGTAACCAAATTGTTGAAACAACTCATACGGCCATTGGCTGTACTGAGGATAAGTGATTATGTTGTGTTATACAGTGCAGTACATTTTCATAAATAGCTACTGGCTGTAGATTACTCTTCCTAGCATATTGTTGAGGGTATGCTGCTACACACCAAAGACAAAGAGTATAGTATTTCTGTGGTGCCAGTTCAGACCTGAGGGAAGCTTGTGGCCAGTGGCAGGACTGAAGATGGTGCTTTCTTTGGGCAGTGGTAGGTGGAGAGTGGCCACTGGGGCCGGAGAACTGGGGACTCTCTCTTTGCTCTGGCTCCTTGCAGAACCACTGTGTTGTAGCATGCTCAAAAATAGTGTACTTATTTTGTTCTGAAAATAAATATTTCCATTTAACAATTGGTTGTATTATATTTGAGAACTGTTGGCAATGTTATGCATTAATATTCTAATTGTAGACTATAAGAAAATTATTTCTAATTATTTTGTGAATTATTTTTAGATATGAACTGAGAATTCGTTATTTGCCAAAAGGATTTCTAAACCAGTTTACTGAAGACAAACCAACTCTGAATTTCTTCTATCAACAGGTATAAGAATGTTTTAATATATTTGCTTGTTTAATCTTACTCATTACATATTTTTATTTTGCAGTTGAATTAAACCTAACATATGAGAGAATATGAAATCACTCTATGACTTTGAGAGTCTTTTAAACATTGTGAAATTATGAATTTTTGATACTTGGTGACCTTTTGTATCCTTGGATAAATCTTAAAAGATACTTGTTTATGTGGAGAAGTCCAGTCCATGACCATTGTTTTGTCTTTAATTCAAATATAGTTATCATGTCTGAAGTAAAAAATTTGCATATAAAAATTGTTGTCTGAACTATTCTGTGTAATAGTTTATACACAAAAGCAAATATCATTAAATGCAGAATTAACTAGCAATATTACAGAGAAATACAGTGCATGTTACTTACTAATGTTGTTATAGAATAGTCTCAGCAGACTAATGAATGTCAAAAAGATGTACACACAGTTTTGCCATTAATATACTTGATAACAATTTTATCTTGGTAAATATATTTATTAAATGGCTGCTCTTGGTTAGGAATGCCATTATAGTTTGCACTTTTATTTCTTTTTTGTTGTGAAGAATTTTCATGGACACTTACTTTATATTGACCCTATGGTAGTGTATACAATGATATGACCTTGTAGAGAAGGGCCTGCTAACCCAGTGTAGATGTGGAGTCAAGAGGCTACCTGGAAAGTGTCACTGGAAGAGTGTCCACCTTCAGATCAGGAAGAGTTGTGTTTTCTTGGGAGGAACACAGAGGGGAGGGAGAAAATGTGATACATTTAAGTCTGAGCTATGGTTTGGTATGTAACTGATGAGAGAAAGTTCGGGAATATATCATGTAAATAGAGTTTAGGTTTTCTCCTGCAGATTATCAGGAGCTATTTAGAAAATTTAATCAGTGAGTGCTTTAATCAGAATTTTAAAATTTTAAATGAGACCAACCTGATTGCGTGGCAGTTGCAGGGATGGATTGTGGTTTTAAATGGTTGCAGACAAATTCCGAAGCTCTTTAACAATTCCATTAAGGAATTAGAAGTGGGCATGGTTGTGTACACCTATAATCCCAGCACTCTAGGAGACTGAGGCCAGAGGACCTCAAATTCAATCCAGCCTGGGCAACTTGGTGACTTAGCAAAACCCTACCTCAAAATAAAAAAGGAGCTGGAGAGGTACCTTTGTGCAAAGGCCCTGGGTTCAAGCCCCAGTACCATTAAGAAGGAACTGGGAGGTGGGGGAGGGACAGAAGGAGGAAGAGACAGGATGGCATGGTGATAATGTAATATAAATATTGTGGGTGGATTTGACAGTACCAGTTTTTTAAAATGGACAGTGAAGATCAGGAAGAAGCCTATTAGGTAAGTTGAGGTTTTACTGTCTGATAAAAGCAACAGGGGATTAGGTTCAGAAGGGGAAAAAAGGAATGTAAATTGTTTTTTGTTTTCTTATATGTAAAGTAACAATAGATGTTTCTGTTTATAATCTCACTGAGAGCAGGAAGCTAAGGAACTTTCTAGCTGTTGGTGGGTATGGGGTGTCTTTTTTTTTTTTTGTCTGTAAGGTAGAACTCATAGAGTGAATTTATGATAAAGGTCTTGTGAGAAGTTTGGGTTTAACAAAGTTGGATGAGAGATGGAGTTGAATTTGGCCAGCTGGAGAGAACACATGTTTAGATTTCAGCTGCAATTACTGGAGGTGTGTTCACACTGCAGAAATGATTTCTACTTTATATATTTGTTTGTTCTTTTTTTTGTCTGTTTGAGAGAGGGTTTCACTATGCAGGTCAGACTGGCTTTGAAGTCACTTTGTATTGCGTTCAAGGCTGACCGCAAACTCACAGCAGTCTTCCTGCTTCAGCCTCCCAAGTGCTGGGATTACAGACAAGCACCACCATGCTCAGTTTATATACTTGTTTTTTCTTATATGTGTTGTTACAGCTCATCTGTTAGCTACCATACCTGATGAAGTTGGTATTGTGGTGAAGGGGGAGCCAAGAGAATTCAAATAACTAATGTGTTTATATAGGTTGCCTCTTCCTCCTCAAAAATGTTTTGGACCAGCAGTGTTTCTGACCAGAAATGTATTCTGATTTTGAAATATTTGCATATACATCGTTGGGTATGGACCCATTTATATTTCACATATACCTCATATCCGTAGAGTAAAGATAATCCTATATAGTATTTTAAAATAATTTTGTGCGGGAAATAACTTTAGGGCATCATGTTGGTTCCCAAAAAGCTTTGGGTTTTGGAGCATTGTGGATTTCAGATTTTCTGATTAGGGATACTTGACCTATATTGCTTTTTCTCATGTGTAGATGATCTATAGTGGGATTAGCATACTTTCTGTGGGAGAAACAATGTACCCACTGAGGAAATACATGGATCTTTGGGTGACATTGGTTTCCAGAATATATAATACAGGCCTAAGTACCTGGTTATTATCCTCTTTGTAATTTCTGGGCTAACCTAAAAGAACTGTCTTGTTCCTTTCACACTGTTAATAGGCTGTCCCAGTTTTTCCTTTTTGGAAGAATTTGCTTCTGGGTCTGTGATTGGCTGTTAGTACTATACATGCCAATGGATCCAGATTTTATTTTAACCAAGAAAACATATTGCGATCTGTATAATACAGTTAAGTAGTCTTTATAGAACCCAGAGAAAGTGAAGTATAATGATCACATTTTCTTGAAAGCATGTGCAGTAAATACTCTCATGTACCTGTTGTGCAGTTTGCAACTCTGTGACCTGGGGTTCTTTTTTGAATCTCTTACCTACAATACAATTAGATGATACCCATCTATAGGATTGTTATGTTGATTAAATGAGATAAAATTGTCTGCCATGTATGCGTCCAGGTATTTTCTGGATTTTACTCTGTAGACAGTGACATTTAGTATTTACCAATTTCAAATCAAGATGCAGGTATTTATTTTTATTGTGAGACAGGGTCTTACTAAGTTGCCCAGGGTGGGCTCAAACTTGTGGTCCTTGTACCTCAGCCTCTCAAAATGCTAGGATTACAGCCCTATAAGACATGTATTCTTTTGTAAGGTGTGATACATAACAGTGAGATAAATATCCATGTCCCTTACTGGTCTGATAAAAAGAATATCCTGATGGTTCCCTGTCTCACATCCTTGTCCTCACCCTTATTTACATGTTGCTAACCATTCTTTTTTACATTTTTTTTTTTATTGCTTCTTACTTTCTTGGCCAATTGTCATGTTTTACAGCATACAGTATGTGTGTTTTTTCAGTCCTACCCTCAAGGAAAATACTGACCCTAGTTCTTCTCTAGCCCTATGTATTCCTGTCATTGGCCTGAATATGTTTTTAGTTTTTCTGCCAGTTCCCAGAAGCATTCAAAAGATTTAAAAAAAAAAAAAAAAAAAAAATACTGTGTTCGGCGTTTCTCATTGCTTCCAGTGAGCGGATTGGTCAGGATGTTTAGTCTACCTTCTTGATAGAAAAGAAAATGATCATTCAGGGTGTTAAAAATTGATCCCTTTTGGTTCATTTGAAAAGTAATTTTGCATTGTAGTTATAGACTGCTGTTCATATAATATCAAAGTTCAAATTTTGTTTAGATTTGTTTAATCATCAAGCATGTATTTTGTTTTTTGTAAAGTTTCCAATTTTTCTTGTATAGTTGCTCTTAATTGTTTAGTACATGTTATTAATTAATATCCAGTCAAGGATGTTAAATGTGTTGTTCTAGTCTTCTGTGTCCTTAGTGTTCTTTTTCCTGTGTGAAAGATACTGCTGCTGGACATACAAACAGGGTCCCGAGTTTTCTCTCAGCCCCTTGATGGAATTTTCTACTATGTTTTATTTTCCCTGAGGCTATTGAGAAATTGTTTCACATCTGGGTCTTTGTAGATGGTCTGTCTTTTCTGTCTGTCCCTCTTTCCTTCCACCCTTTTTGTCAGTGACGTCCCATGCCATTATCAACTACAGTGGATTTTCATTTTCTGCTTGATCAATGTGAGAAATCTCAAATGGTGTACTAAATGTTTTGACCTAATTTTTAATATCCCAAAAGATATTAATCAGCACATTTTAAAAATAAGCTAGAAACTTATTATAACACCATTCACTGTAGAGCAAGTCTAAAAAAGTAATTTCATTGGTAAAACTTATGTCACTTTCAAAAGCAAGAAAAGTATGTTTTACCATGTAACATTTCTCTTTATCTTGGTTAGCATTCATTGGTTAAAGTTGTATTTAATTGGCATTTTTGTGCAAGTAGTTCTGATCATTTGTTTAAAGGCCCATCCCTATGTTTAGTTAGGAGCTGTCATATTAATTAAATATGCATTAATGATGCTTAAGTAGCATAGAAATAATTTGCCGCTGACATAAAAGTCCTCACTGTTTGTTCCTACACATATTTGAAGATCTGAAATGAGTGCATTTATCTGTTGATTCTTTATCAGTGATTTATTTAATAAAAAGAGTTTCAGGAGGAAGTTGAAGACAATAGAACCACAGCTTAACTCTGTGATATAGAATATAACTCTGCCTGTAGAAATATACATTGTTCCAGAGCATACTTCTCTCGTTTGCTTGCTTGCTTGCTTCCTTTCTTTCTTTCTTTGTCTTCTTTTTTTCCTTTTGAGACAGGGTCTCATCATGCAGTTCAGATTGGCCTTGAGCTCCCTTTGTAGCCCAGGCTGGTTTTGAACTTGCAAGGATTCTCCTGCCTGGGCCTTCCAAGTGTTGGAATTGTAGGAGTGCACAACCATGCCTCGCCCTTCTTGTTGGTCAAGCTTTCTAATTTCCTTGTCTGTATTTTTGGCCTTGAATCTGTCAGTTAAAACATATTTTGAAATTGTAGCTCTAACTATGAAATTTTAGTTTAAAACCCTGTATTTTTAGTGTGGGGATTATCAGCTGCTGTTTTCCAGTCTGGAAGATACAATTAAGTATAGGTCTGCATCTCTTTTATTATGAGACATATTTTCTATCCTTATTTAGTGGACCTAATTGTACATATTTCC